CACAGGTTGGTACAAAGGGATTGCTATGATGGCGTTCTGACGGTTACACGAGGGCCTGGGGTTGCACACTGGGGTCCTGACAGGTGCTGAGGCAGGAGGATTGCTTGAGCCCAGAAGTTTGAGGCTGCAGTGAACCATGCTGGAGCCACTGCACTCCAGCCTGGGCAACAGAGTGAGAAAGAAAAGAGAGAGAGAGAAAGAGAGAGAGGGAGGAAGGGAGGGAGGAAGGAAGAAAGAAAAAAAGCAACAGAGTGAGACTTTTCTCAAAAAATAAAACAATTTTTTAAAAGGAAAGAAAAAAATTCAAGACACAGGGTCGGTCAGGTAACAAAGACAAGTGAGGAACACTTAGTGGGGTCCACACTGAACTAGAGTGCCTTTCTTCCCATCCTCCCCACCCCCGATTTAACTGGCACACACAGTCCCAAGAAAGCTTTGTTGAAAGAATGAATTGATTACTAAATAACCCCCCAAAGTGGAGTATATAAGCCTAAAAAGTTTCCCAGGCTCTCAAAGCCCCCTAATTCTGTTTTATAATCGTTCTTTCTTTCCTACAGGAGACTGGATGGCCATTTTTCTCCTAATGGTGATGGGCTGGATGCTGGGATAAAAGCCTGCCCAGACATCTCCCCCAACCCTAGCCCTCAGCCTCTAGTTTACTTACCTGAGGCAAGGGTGGAGTGGAGGAAGATTTAGGGTGAACTAAGTAGTCTCTCCTCTTGTTAGGGACTGGAGAGGTTGGGGATGAAGATTGGACTGATGTCTGGTAAGGCATGAGGCTGCTGAGCATTGGGGCTGTGCTCCCTCATCTCACCTTCTCATCTCTGCAACTCTTTCCAGAGGGAGAATAGGCTGCTCAGTATAGCAGGAGGTATAGGGAGAAGGGTGGTAATGAGGATAAATCACTTTATTCTCTTTGAGTCTCAATTTCCCCATATGTAAAATGAAAGAGTTTGACCAGCTGATCTCTGCTTCAACATGGAGACTCTATGACTCTCATTCCAGTGAAAATTCTTGGACCTTGACCAGCTGGCTCTAAACCCTGTCCCCTTTTTTCTCCTGCAAAACGGGCAAGAACTATTCAATTTCAGAATGAGGGTAAATGTATCCATATAATATTATCCAAGGCTTCTCCTCTTGCTCCTTAATTATTTCTGACCTCATTAGCTCCCCTTTCCTAGTAGAAGATAGATATGGTGGCAGTGTTTGTGCTAATGTCATTTATTCGTTCAAAAAATAGGTTGACCTCTGTTATGTACCTGCTAACTGTGTTACGTCCAGGGGACTCAACAGTACACAAGACACAGAATTTGACCTTACAGAGAGGACAGCTGAGTACAAGGAGTAGGTAGTGTGGACCAGGAAGTAAGACAGGATTTATAAGTTGGCAGAGGTGGCACCTACCACCTAGATTTTGTGGTAGAGTTTCACAAAATCACAGGAAAGCCTTGTGCTTTTTTTGTTGTTTTGTTTTTGATATACTATTTTTTATTGCCATCCATGATAATTTTAGAAATATATTTACTGGGGAAAAATGTTGATACAAGCAACATAATAAAAGTTAAATTTAACAATTTTAACATTTCATTTAAAGGAACATTTTGTTGTCATTTAATGCTTTAATAGCTTCTGAAAAAAATTAAGTCAAATGATCAACCCATATTATTTTTTCATACACGTCAAGGTCACATATTTATTAAACCAGCATACAATTAATTACATTTCATTGTAAATTCATATTGACTTCATAGGTCTGAAATAAACTTTTTATTTTATTTATTTATTTATTTATTGAGTTGGAGTCTCTCTCCATTGCCCAGGCTGGAGTGCAGCATTGACCTGCTGGGCTCTGTTGATCCTTCCACCTCAGCCTTCCAAGTAATCAGAACTCCAGGCACACGCTACGACACCCAGCTAACTTTTGATTTATTGTAGAGACGATGTCTCACTAAGTTGCCCAGGCTGGTCTTGAACCCACGAGCTCAGGTTCTCCACTCGCCTTGGCCTCCCAAAGTGCTGGGATTACAGGCTGAGCCACTGAGCCTGGCTGAAATAGACTTTTAAAACAGCCCTACTAGTGAAAGCATTAGCCCTTGCCCTTATTTAAAATCCTGAAGAAGAGAGAAACTAGAAAAAAAATATAGAGTACTCCCCAAAAATGTATATACATTTTAAGAAAGGAAAAAACTGTATTAAAACTGTAATATATACCAATATGTTTGACTTCTGCAATTACAAGAGGTGCTCCAAGTGGTTACTATCAGTGTCCAGACACTTCTGATTACGGCTAACTATTGTAGGACTTGTTGCTGTGCAAGGTCTCCCAGATCTTCCCTTGTACACATCACACATGGTACCATACATCTCAAACTTACCACAAATGCGTGCAATTGTTAGGCCTGTTGGAGGTTCTGTTGCATACTCACACTTCCATTGTCATTGTACTTCCACAATGTTCTTGAATTTCAAATACCACTTCAAAATGGTCTTGTGCTCCTCACCATTTTTCTTGACTGTCCTGCCTGTCATATGGTGACACTAGCATTCATCTCATTAACACCATCTTTTGAGTGAACATCATACTACACATTGCTACCGAAATTCAATTCAACTTCAAAAAGTAATACACAGATAACATCACTTAAAATGTATATATATTTTTTTGGCACCTCACATATAAATCCCTAAGGATAAGCGCAAATATTGACTATGCTTAACTATGTCAAAAAAGAAAACAATTTAGTAAACAAGGAAGCTATTGATCTTAAACTAAATGAGTTGACCACATTAAAGAAGCTTCAGTGCTGTGTAACAACAGATGCTTATAAAATAATCCACCAGACAACACTTAAGTATATGAAATACTTTAAGTCGGGCAAGATGACTCACGCCTATAATCCCAGCACTTTGGGAGGATGACATAGGAGGATCGCTTGAGGCCAGGAGTTCAAAACTAGCCTGGGCAACATAGTGAGACCGCATTTCTACAAAACATAAATTAGGTGGGTGTGGGTGGTGACCAGTGCCTATAGTCCCAGCTATTTGGAGGATTGAGACAAGAGGACAGCTTGAGCCCAGGAGCTTGAGGCTACAGGAAGCTATGATTATACCACTGCACACCAGCCTGGGAAAGAGTGAGACCCTGTCTCTAAAATAAATAATAATAATAGTAATAATAATAAAATGTAATTAAAGATTTAAGAATATTTCACATCTAAAGTTTGGTTGTGACTATTCTCTGAAATTGGGGCCAAAAGTCTCTGTTAAAATATAAATGAGCAGACACAGTGGCATATTCTTGTAGTCCCCACTACTGAGAAAGCTGAGCCGGAGGATCACATGAGCCCAGGAGTTTGAGTCCAGCCTGGACAATACAGCAAGGCCCTTTCTCAAAAAACCCCCAAACATTCGTGTGTGTGTGTGTGTGTGTGTGAGAGAGAGAGAGAAAAGGCATTCACATTTGTAAATTTGTAGATTATGGAGTTACTTTTATTTATTTTTATTTTTATTTTTTGAGTTGGAGTCTCACTCGGTCGCCCAGACTGGAGTGCAGTGGCCACTCCCGGCCACCGCAGCCTCGACCTGCTGGGCTCCGGTGATCCTTCCGCCTCAGCCTTCCAAGTAGCCGGAATTACAGGCATGCGCTACCACGCTCGGCTGATTTTTTGATTTATTGTAGAGATGAGGTCTCACTGCCCAGGCGGATCTCGAACCCGCGGGCTCAGGCAATCCACTCACCTCAGCCTCCCAAAGGCGTGGGATTACAGACTGAGCCACCGAGCCTGGCTTATGGTGTTACTTTTAAACTATATATAGCCATGGAAGAAAACTGTACAAATGTACAGTTTGCTATTTCTTACTTTAAATCTCATCACTTCCACTATACTTCCAGTCAGGCTTCTCTTGTATTCAGCTCTTCACATCTTCCCCGTTCTTCTTAGTCTTCTACAGAGAAGTCCTGTTCCCTCTCTGCTCACAGATGCCTTTCACAAAAGAAACAGAAGCTATCAAGTGGCTTCTAATTTTCAACTTTTTTTGACTAATACTTTCAACTTTCTACCCACCAGTCCATAAAGTCATTCAGACACCCTGTCTTGACATTTTTTTTAGCCATCACATTGATATTAACAAAATTTTCTGGTCCTAATTTCATATCATACCCAGGTTCATTATCCATTAAGTCTGCTATTTTATGCCTATTTTCTTACCTGAAACTATTAAAAGAGAGAGCAAGGGCTTGAACTTTGAAGTACATCCCTAAGGTCCCTCTACAGAAACCGACTCAGTAATGAACTCTTTTTATGTTTGGTTCTTCGAAGCTAAGAAATGCAACTTTTTTTTCTGTACAACTTTTTAATGCCCCTCCCTCCCGAATCGGGTTTCTAGACACCTGGGATTTTATGTATTCTTTTCCTTTGGCTGATGGCTTTGTTCCTCCTTTAAAATAACTTCCCAGTCTGACTCTTCAAGTACATATTAATGCACATGCGTTTGACAGCTCCTTTTCCTGGGGACCAAGTTTGGGTAGGGAAGAGGACTGACCCCTTACCCTTCAATCTGAGCCTTGGTCACAGACTAATCACTGACTCCAACCCAGTCCAAGCCCGAACTCCGACTAGTCAGTGTCCCAAGACACACCTTAACTCCTGCTTCAGGTGAGAGGACTGACAGATGGGTGGCGGGATGGGATGGGGGTGAGGCAGGTTGTGTGGGATTCTCATGCGCCCTGACCTCCAGCTTCCCGATCCGTATAGGCTCAGCACTCCACTCCAGGTCTAGGTGAGCAGGGCTCCGCCTACAGGCAAGACTGGACACCGCGCTGAGAAGACTCCAAGTAGCGGCGGGGTCATGCGCAGAGAGATCCGAGCGGCTCTGCGCCGAGGGTAGCGTGCAAGGGCGGGACAATGGCTCGGCTCGACTTCCAATTGGTCAGAGTTGGAAAGACAGGGGCGGGACGCCAGTGCGGCTCGACTCCCGATTGGCCAGAGGCGGGCAGAAAAGGGCGGGGCCTGAGGGCGCGCTCGCTGAGGCGCGCGGCCTGGCGGGTGTGTAACGGCCGTTAGGAGAGCTGAGGGGCTGAACCACCGCCCACCGCAGACGTGGTGGCCTCAGTCGGTGTCCCCGAGTGAGGTATTTCGCCGCCCGCTTTCAGGCCCGCGTAAGTTTTCCTCCCTCGGGGACCCTCGTCGGAGTGACAGACCTTGTCCTTGTTTCCGTAGCCCCGGCGAAGTCTCGGACACGCGCGACCTACCTTGGTTGGGGGGAGGAATGCCGGGGGGAGAGCGAAGCGCATGCGCAGAGCGACTAAGCGGTAACTCCCCGAGTCTCTCACCTCCCCTGCTTGCTGAGATAATGCCGCCTACACACGCCCGGTCGTGTCCCACTCTCCCTCCTTCTCTCGTTGCTTTGCTTTCTCCTCTGTCATTCACTCCACGTCAGTTGTTTGGCCTGTGTGCCAGGCCCTCTGCCAGTAGCCAGGGACACAGCGGACAGCACGTTTCTTGCCCTCGTGGAGCGCACAGTCCCCAGAGAAGAGTAGACCTTAAGCGGGTCATTTACTCAGCACTCAGTAAGTGTAGGGTGGAGACATTTTACAAAGCCCAAATCCGAAGGCACTGATCTAATCGGAAGGGTCACGGAGCGCTCCCTGAGAAAGGGAAGTTTTAGCTGAGATTTGAAGGATGTATGGAGAATTAGGTCGGGGGACAGAAGCACCTGGGAGGGCCTTAGATCAGTGTGTCCTGCCAGGACGATTTTGCTTCTCAGGGGACATTTAATGATGTCTAAGATTAAGACACTTTTGATAGTCACAGCTCAGGGTGCTGCTACTGGCATCAAGTGTGAAGAAGCCAGGGAGCTGCTGTACAACCTGCGGTGTGCAAGACAGCCCCCCACAACAAAAAATCATTTCACCCAAAACGTCAGTAGTGCCGAAGTTGAGGAACTCTGCTGTAGCCAAACAGAGCTGGTGGTTTGATTGAACTGAAAGTTTAGTGTGTTCAAGTTTATCTGTTCCACAAAGTTTATTTGGCACTTACTTTACCCCCTGTAAACCAGGGGGATCAGAGCTATGTCTTTTTTCCGAAATAGTTTTTACTCTGTTGCCTAGGCTGGAGTGCAGTGATGCGATCACAACTTACTTCACTGCAGCCCAAAACTCCTAGGTTCAAGAGATCCTGCCTCAGCTTCCTGAGTAGCTGAGACTACAGGTGTGGGCCACCACCCACATCCAGCTAATTTGTTCTTTATTTTTTTGTAGTGACGTGGTCTCACTTTGTTGCCTAGGCTGGTCTCGAAGCCCAGACCTCATGCTCTCCTCCTGCCTCAGCCTCCCAAAGTGCTGAGATTACAAGCATGAGCCACCGCTTGTGGCTGGTTTGTCTTTGACACCAGCATATTTCCAGCACATAACACAGAGCCAGGCAGATGGTAGGCACTCAGTAATATTTGGTTAATGAATTGAATACTGTGTGCTAGGTAAGGGGAAGTATTGATACAAGAATGATTAAGATAGCCAGGCTTCATTACTTGCTCTTAGGCCTTGTCTGATGGTTTTGTGTGTCTCAGGACTTGCTTTTTGTCAAGGATTTGGCTTCTCTTTTACAAGGTCTGGTTTAATGAATGACCAGGTCATGAAAATAGTGTGATGGTGTGAGAGTCTTAATATGTCTGTGTCAGCTGTCTGTGTATCTCCTTCAGATCCTCTCCTGTGTTATTGTTGTTGAGTTGGAGTCTCACTCTTTCGCCCAGGCTGGAGTGCAGTGGCACGCTCATGGCCACTGCAGCCTTGGCCTGCTGGGCTCAGGTGACCCTTCTGCCTCAGCCTTCCAAGTAAGCTGGAACTATAGGCATACATCACCATGCCCGGCTAATTTTTTTTATTTTTTGTAGTGATGAGGTCTCGCCAAGATGCCCAGACTAGTCTCGAACCTGTGGGCTCAGGCAGTCCTCTCACCTTGGGCTCCCAAAGTGCTGGGATTATAGGCATGAGCCTCCTCACCCAGCCCTCTCCTGTCTTGATGTGCTCTCAGCAGCTGCCAAGTGTGATATTCCACACTTTAAAATTGTAATTCTTCAAGGGGAAAAATACTTATAACAGTCAAAATCTAATTCTTGGGTGACAACTTGGGAAATAGAGTCTGGGTGGTGACCAAGGGCAAAGTGAAGAAGTTATGAGCTGTCCCCGCTCCTAAAGGACGTGAGACTTGCAGCTCTAATTGTCTGAGGCAGAAACTCAACTTGTGGTGCCCTCCTTGGTTTCTCTTTTTGTGTTTTGTCACACAGAAAGAATGCTGCCTAGACTCCTATGGCAGTAGAATACAGTCCTCACTTTGAAGCCTCTCCCTAGTTGTGTTTCCTTCACTACTCTAAACCTTTATCTTCTCATCTATAAAATAAGGAGAGTAGTAACTGCCTCACAGAGTTGATTTGAGCATTAAACATGAGACATGATACCTAAAAAGTTTTTAGCACAATGCTTGACAGGTAGTAAGTGTTGAATACATGTTAAATTTGTTGAATGAATGAATATTTCTGCAGTTTAAAGGGCTTTGAAGTTAGAAACCAACCATGTTGGGTGTTTTTTGTTTTGTTTTACTGTCTGTACCTGTCCACTCCTTTTTCTTGGCTATGGAATTGGTTATTTATGTTCCTTCTTGTGAATTCATTTCTCTCACTTTTATCCCAGGAAATGTCTGTCTCCTTCAGTGGTCCTAAAAATGTCTGCCAGTAGCTCATCTCATTCTGAACTTAGTAGGAAAAAGTCAAGAATGATTTATTCTATATTGTTTTACTCCTTATAGGAATTATTTAAAATTGTGATATAATGCACATACCATAGATAATTTTATATGTGTTCAATTTAGTGCTTTTTAGTATATTCATAAGGTTGTGCAGCCATCATCACTATGAAATCTCTGAACATTTTGATCACCCTGACAAGAAACCTCATATCCATTTAGCAGTCATTCCCTGTCCCCTACCGTCCCTCTTTTCAGCGCCTTGCAATCACTAACCTGTGTCTCCTTGGATTTGCCTATTCTGACATTTCGTATAAATGGGATCAAACCTTTTGTGTTGTCTTCATTCACTTAGCATAATGTTGTCAGTGTTCATCCATGTTGTAGCATGTATCAGTACTTCATCCTTTCATTGCTGAATAATATTACATTGTGTGGATATTTTATTTATCCACTTTGTTTATCCATTCATCAGCTGATGGACATTTGGATTCTTTCCACTTTTTGGCTGTTGTAAATAATGCTGCTATGAATATTTGTGTTCAAGGCTTTGTGTAAACATGTGTTTTCATTTTTCTTGGATATATACCTAAGAGTAGAATTGCTGAGTCATAAGGTAATTGTGTTTAACTTGGAGTTCTTTTTTTACCCTGTTTTCAACTCATCTGAATTTGGAAACATCTCAGAATCTAATGGCCCAGCCATTGTGTTATCCTTTAAAGAAAAGGAAGAAAAAAAGGATTTTTATATTTACAAGAAAGTAAGTCACTGGTTGGTAGAGAGTGTAATCCTTTTGTGGCATCATTAATGTATTGAATGATGCTAGCCATTTTTTTTTTTTTTGAGTTGGAGTCTCACTCTGTCACCCAGACTGGAGTGCAGTGGCTG